CTCCGCTGCCGCCGCCTCTTGAGCCTCCGCCGCCGCCACGGCCGCCACTGCCGCCTCTACAGCCGCCGCCTCCGCCGCTGCCTCCGCCGCTGCCTCCGCCGCCTCCGCCTCCGCCTCCGCCGCCGCCACTGCCGCCACTGCCGCCTCTACAGCCGCCGCCGCCGCCTCCTCCCTCTCCCTTGCCGCCTCCTCCCTCGCCCTCGCCTCTGCCTCCTCCCTTGCGCGCGACGCCACCTCCGCCTCCGCCAGTTCGTCGCGCAGCAGCCGCGCCGCCCGCAGCGCCTCCGAGCCGTCGGCGGCGTCGGTGTTCGCGTTGATCGCCGCCCTGAGCGCCTCGAGATCGGTGTCGCCTCGGCCGCACGCCTCAACCGCCTCGCGCAGCGCCGCCTTGGCTGCATCGCGCGCCTCCGCCGCCTCCGCAGCCGCTGCCACCTCGCGTGCGGCCGCCGCGGCCTGTTCGGCTGATTCTGCGACCGCCGTCTCCCCCTCCGCCTCTGCTGCGGTCGACGAGTGCTCCTCGAAGGCGCGCACGCACTCGGCGAGGCCTTCCTCCTTGGCCCACTGCAGAGCCGTCATGCCGCCAACAGTGCGCGCAGCATCTGCGCCCGCCTGCAGCAAGCGCCGCACGACAGCGGGGTGGTTGAAGCTGGAGGCGAGCATCAGCGCGGTGCCGCCGCCTCTGTCCTGCAGGTTGACGTCAGCGCCGCGCCGCATCAGCAAGTCGACCACCCGCTCGTGGCCGTTGAAGGCGGCGTTCATCAGCGCGGTGCCGCCGTCGCTGTTCTGCAGGTTGATCTTCGCGCCGTGCTGCAACAACAGCTCGACCACCCGCTCGTGGCCGTGGTTGGCGGCGGCCATCAGCAGCGTGAAGCCACTCAAACTACCTCTCTTGTACGTCGCGTCGACCCGCCCCCCGCCCTCAAGCCACGCCAGCACCGCCGCCTCCTCGCCACGCTCCACCGCTGCGATGACATCATCGGAGACTGTCACGCCCCCCCTCGAGGCCCGCTCCGCCGCCGCCGCCACCGGCAAGAGATTACCCGGCCGCACCCGCACGCTCTCGCCGCCGCCCTCGAGCGCAACCGCGTACCGCCCGCCCTCGATGCTCTGAGCCACGCCCCGCTGCCCGTTCAGCTCGGGGCGGGAAGAGAGCCCGCAGAGCACGACTCGCTGGCCAAGCAGCAGCGCGTCTTCTTCAGCTGCCGCTGCCGCGCCCGAGGAAGCGCCGCCGGCCCCAGCACGGCCGTCTGCAGCCGCCGCCGCCTCAGCCAAGACCTCGACGCACTCGGCGTGGCCCTTCTCCTTGGCACACTGCAGCGCCGTGCCGTCGTTCTCCGCGCGCGCCGCCGTGTCAGCGCCCGCCTGCAGCAAGCGCCGCACGACGGCGGGGTGGTTGAAAGAAACGGCGTACATCAGCGCGGTACCGCCATTGCTCCTCTGCAGGTTGACCTCAGCGCCGCGCCGCACCAACAGCTCGACCACCCGCTCGCGGCCTTCCTGGGCGGCGGCCATTAGCGCGGTGCTGCCGTTGCTGTTCTGCAGGTTGATCTCCGCGCCGTGCCGCAGCAGCAGCTCGACCACCCCCAAGTGGCCGTACACGGCGGCGCCCATCAGCAGCGTGAGGCCGCTCAAGCCACCTCTCTCGTATGTCGCGTCGACCCGCCCGCCTTCCTCGAGCCACTCCAGCACCGGCTCCTCCTCGCCTCGATGTGCCGCTGCGATGACCTTGTCGGAGACTGCCGCGGCACCGCTCGAAGCCCGCTCCGCCGCCGCCGGCGACAGATTACTCGGCCGCACCCGCACGCTCTCGCCGACGCCCTCGAGCGCCACAGCGTACCGGCCGCCCTCGAAGCTCCGCGCCACGCCCCGCTGCCCGTTCAGCTCGGGGCGGGCCGAGAGCCCGCCGAGCACGACTCGCTGGCCGAGCAGCGGCGCGTCCACAGCTGCCGCTGCCGCGCCCGAGGAGGCGCCGCCCGCCCCCGCCCGGCCGTCTGCAGCCGCCGCCGCCTCCGACAAGACCTTGACGCACGCGGCGTTGCCCTTCTCCTTGGCCCACTGCAGCGCCGTCTTGCCGTTTTCATCGCGCGCCGCCGCGTCTGCGCCCGCCCGCAGCAAGTGCCGCACGACGGCGGGGTGGTTGAAGAAGGCGGCGAGCATCAGCGCGGTGAAGTCTTTGTTGCTCTGCAGGTTGACCTCAGCGCCGCGCCGTATCAGCAAGTCGGCCACCCGCTCGTGGCCTTGGACGGCGGCGTTCATCAGCGCGGTGAAGCCGATGCTGTCTTGCAGGTTGACCTCAGCGCCGTGCTGCAGCAGCAGCTCGACCACCCGCTCGTGGCCGTTGAAGGCGGCGCCCATCAGCAGCGTGATGCCGCTCAAGCCGCCTCTCTCGTACGTCGCGTCGACCCGCCCGCCGCCTTCGAGCCACGGCAGCAGCGCCGCCTCGTCGCCTCGCTCAGCTGCTGCGAGGATATCATCGGGGGCTGCCGCGGCACCGCTCGACGCCCGCCCCGCCGCCCCCGCTGGAGATAGCGTCTTCGCGACTCTCGATCCAGCCGAGGAAGCGCCGCCGGAGGAAGCGCCGCCTGCGCCTTCGCCGCCGGCTGCCGTCGCCGTGGGCCGTCCCGCCAGCATATCCTGGACGTGCTTCTTGAAGGCCTCAACGCACTCGGCGTGGCCCTTATCCTTGACCAGCTGCAGCGCCGTCATGCCGCTCGCATTGCGCGCCGCCGTGTCTGCGCCCGCCTGCAGCAAGCGCCGCACGACGGCGGGGCGGTTGAGGTAAGCGGCGAACATCAGCGCGGTTTCGCCGACGCTGTTCTGCAGGTTGATCTCCGCGCCGTGCTGCATGAGCAGGTCGACCACCTGCTCGTGGCCTTTGGAGGCGGCGAGCATCAGCGCGGTGTGGCCGTTGATGCTCTGCAGGTTGACCTCAGCGCCGTGCCGCAGCAACAGCTCGATCACCCGCTCGTGGCCGTGCATGGCGGCGGTCATCAGCAGCGTGAGGCCGCTCAAGCCGCCTCTCCCGTAGGTCGCGTTGACCCGCCCGCCACCCTCGAGCCACGCCAGCACCGCCGCCTCGTCGCCTCGCCCAACCGCTGCCACGACCTCGTCGGAGACTGCCACGCCACCGCTCGACGCCGCCGCCGCCGGCGACAGATTACCCGGCCGCACCCGCACACTCTCGCCGCCACCCTCGAGAGCCACCGCGTAGCGGCCGCCCTCAAAGCTCCGCACCACGCCCCGCCGCCCGTTGAGGTCGGGGCGTGC